ACCTAAACTACTGCCGGAATCCTACGATGGCAGAGCGTCCGTGGTGCTACATCTCTCTCGTGAATTCTAGTTGGGAATACTGTGACATCCCATTCTGCCATCGCCCAAAAGGTCAGAGATACTTTGGGCTCCAAGCATCTTATGCTAGAGAGAAATTTAAGCATCTGAGAATTCTGAAGATCTCTGATTCTCTGAACAGAGTCATTGCTGATATATGCTCAAATTATCTGAAGCTCACGAATATGTAACGACCCACGGGCTTGTGATGTAGTTATGGGAACATTTTGGCATTAGCACGGTCATTCTGTAAGGGAAAAAAGTCATACAATATAACGGTTTGCATATTGCGTAATGACCGTGCTAATACATATTTTACTTTTCCATGCGGCGCTGGAAAGTCCCCGTTTATGGCATTGTATTCACTTTTGGAGACATAAAAAACTTGAACTGACTTATCTCCAGAGGTCCAGATCCGAACTAGAAAAATGATCAAGGAAGTAAATGGACAAATTTGAGAAGCGTTTCTAACTGTTGTGATTGTATTCCCTTGAAAGAAGGTATGTGAAGCGGCATCCATTCAGACATTTAATATCAATAGAATAATCGAAAAGGTAGAGTGTGCTAGGTTTTTACAGCTCCACGGCGGTAACAGAAGGAGAGGGGAGCGCTTAACTTTCCTGAACTTAGGTGAAGCGAAGGTTGAGACGTGACCTCTTCACTTGTATAGTAATGAGCTCAAGAAATACTTTAATTGATTGCATATTTCCTGGTATTGGAAGAAGTGTTTAGGAGGTGCCTTCAGCGAAGTCGAGGAGGGAGCATCCTTAATGTAAATTACTAGGTGAATATCCTCCTACAATGGAATCTACCTTGAAAAGGGAGATGGCTTTCCTATCATATACGAACGTTCGACCTTCACAAGGGATGTGTCAGATGATTGGAATGCCTGGTGACGTCCCTACACGAATCTTAATCCTTCAACGACTCCAATAAACAAGAAAATAAGAATTCGTAGTGTCGATTCGCAAGTAAAGCTGCAAGGTGTTAGAAAATGTTTCGTATCAAGACTTCCTCAGGTGCATTAATTAATTTACGACGATATAGGCTAGGGTCACGCAGACAAGGTGACTAGTTATGAGTGGATTCCTGACATCTGCAGCTCCTGATCAGTCTTCATGGTTTTCACTGTAGTTCAGGAACATCAAAACTTAACGAATGTTCCAGAAAGTCATAAGTGGAATATCGTAGGCGTTCTTTTTCCTAACTTTTTGCTAAATGAGAGAAACACATTCATTCAGTTGAATTTCATTAAGATAATCAAATCGAGAGATTTTATTCTCTCATCGTGACGACAGCCCATGCTCGAAGTTACGAATTGTGACCAATTACGGATATCTCTCATTCCCGACTAATTATTTGTTCCGTTGATCCCCAGAGCCCCCGGAATGCAGATTGTCTAAAGGCGGAATGGAGTATTCAGGGTTCAAGAACGCGGATGTGAATGGTTTGAAGTGTCAACCCTGGTTGAGTCGGTCAAGCAACGTGAGATTCCGAAGCTTGAATTGGCTGAAAATCCCTGACGAAAGGGTGGGCAGTAGTCACAACTTCTGTCGCAATCCTTACTTTGAGAGTTCTGGTCTCTGGTGCTTCATTCAAGCGGAAACTAGCGAAGGATGGGGAGAGTGTAGGGTCCCTTTCTGCTTTGAAGTGTATGAGCGTTCCGCTGTCAATGGTATGTTTTTCGTTTACTTCATACTTAATGTTCACCTATCTTATTCTCATGTGAGTGTCTCCCGGGGAAGTCTTCATCACATGTACCAATGGCATGGATCATTAGGCGCAGTAGAGCCCATAACCATCTACAATCCCTTCCCGTAGCAAAATTCAACCTCATCATATTGTTCTCTGAGAGCATGGGCAAGAACGAAATTGGGTATGCTTCTTCCTCTCTCAACGCAGGATCCCTCGAGCAAATTTGATGCTTCATTTCCCCACGGTTGTGGGGAACATTGATTCTCGATTTTCGAAGATGTGACATTAATTCCAGATTATTCCTCCCTGCCCCCCCCCCGTGTAGCGACTCCTGGAGGGTTTTCCGAGGAAAGAGATCAACCAAAAAATGATATTGACTTGTGGATGATGAAGAGCGCATTTTTTTGTTTGGGGCGCAATTTCGGAATCTAAAAAAATGACATTACACTTTCCGTGATGGTTCCGGGCCCGTCCCCTAGTGTTGCCGGATATCGTGCTGAAGTTGTCAGATTCGTCACTGCCTCGACCTCCGTATCTTATCTAGACCGTATTTTATATTTTGATTTGGGAAATTTTTGTGTTGAGTGCATGAGACGAGCTGACATTAAAACGTTGGCTAACATTCTCCAGTCGATGTTAGGGGAAATGGAGATATTCTATCCAGGCATCCCTGAATTGTGAGGATGGCTCTAAGCCTGTATTTCATGTTTCCTGAAGGCATTTCCTCTTCAGAACTAGTAGAGATGGTTCGAGGAACTCTAGCCAGGGCCTAACGTCTCGTGTCCGCACTTAAATAGATAATGAAACTCGAAACAGGCCACTAATCAGTCTAATACGTCCTCTCTGAAATGGTTTCATGGAATCTGAGAAGGTCTGAGATGGGCGTAACGTTACACATTTTCAACGAGATATCTCGAACAACATGACTTTCCTTTATGGGCCAAATTGGCCTGTAAATTGAGCATTGAATTTCTTTGAAACTAAGAAGGTATGCGAGACTTGACCTTAAGACAGTTCGTCGGTTAGGTCTAACCCGAATGTTAGCGAGCCCCGTAGAGTAGGGCGGGTGGGGGGGGGGGGAAGGGGTTGAGGGTGAGGTTGAAGAAAGGGAAAGCTTTCGAAAAATATTTTTCACATTACTTCATCCTGCATTATTTGCATGAGTCCTATTAAGGAAAACTTCTATCTGAAGGAATGCAATTGTTTGGTTATAGTACTTTTTGGAAACCTATCGTCTGGAAAACTATTCTTGGCGATTCCGACAGGCTAGAGGTAGAACCCAAGTGATTCCAAAAGTTCGACACTTAAAATGCGGCAGGTGCACCGGCGGAAGGATACCCGGAATGTTTGCAGACCGTCATGGGAAAGGAATATGTGGGGACGACGAGAAGGACGAAGACCGGGAAGCCCTGTCTCAGATGGGATTCCCAGACTTATGGATCGCCAGAGGACTTCGACCCAAATATACCCTATCATGACCATTTCAGATTTCGCAATGCCACATTGCACCAAGATTTCTGCAGGAACCCTACATTGAGGCATCAACCTTGGTGCTTCGTAGAAGATCCCGGCATTGAATGGGAATTCTGCGGAATCCCCCTCTGCCCCAACTACCCCAGTAAGCTCTATCCATTCCACAAAGAAATGTTCCATCGGGTTGCAAACGGTTGAGAGGGAGCGATACTCAGATTAGATATCTTTTAGACAGTGGAATTCATTTCGTATTTTCTGCCGATCGGCCGAGAACGACCACAATCCAGGTAACACATAATATTGATTCAACGCTGATTTAGTGTGGATTCAATGCATCACTGTTCAAGATTTATACCTCTAAGTTGAATCAACATTGATTCGACGCGGCGACAGCCATAATTTTGACACAAACCTTGACTAAGCATTAATTCAATTATGTGAATCATTGAATCAATGTTTATCGGTACCACTAAACGTTGATACAACAGTTCTCAACAATCTGTTTAATTCATGGGCATGCGCCGTTTCATGACCGAAGTAATAATATTAATAATAACTTCCTGGACATGACGTTAAACTGGATTCAAAGTCTGATGAAAAAGACAACGATCAATATTCATACTGGCTCGGTCGGCACCGAGGAGAAAAAGGACCGCGGCAGTTGTGCTCTCAGCGCAGCTGTTGTAAAGTGTGCCACTGGAGCACCGGTTATGGATTGACAATACATGCCGATTCCTTCAATGGCGTCAGAACATCAAGATGCCAGGGCCATCCACAATGGGTATGATGCTTTTCTTGAAGCGCCCTTAGATGAGAATGGCCAAAGCACTCAGTTCGGACGGCTGCGGTGGACTGCAGAGCCTTAGGCGTGATTTATTAGATCTTCATCACTCCTTAGAGCCTGATCGTAGGAGTTATACGACCAGACTCCACTCGAGTTGGAGCGCAAGGCATCCAATATAGAGCCATTTCTCGAAACAACATCTTCATGTTGCATCATGGATAAAACGGTTCAAAAGCTTCTGTGACATCCATCTAGCTGCTCATCCATCTTGCCCTCAGATTACACCTGAATGCCCCAATAGCACAAGTATGTCTTGAAGACGTCTTAATACTGTCTTCATGAAGAAATTAGACATCTCAAAGACATCTTGACAAGACGTCTTGAATGCCTGCAAATGTCCCCTTCCGAAGATGTCTTCATTTGTTACTTTGAAAGCGTATCAGAGATGTATTGAAGATAAATCTTTTTTTTTCCCCTGTGCATCCAGTGTAGGCCTTTATATACCAACATCCCTTACTTTCTTCTGGCCTAAAAAGCAGGTGCTCTCTCGATGGACACAGGATTAAGGTGATCATGACAATCTTGAATGAATGAACCATGAAAGAGGTGCAATGCCTCTTATTTCCTCCCCAAAAATTTGAAATTCAAATTCTGAATTATTTTATTTGGAAACTGCAACCATTAACAAACTGGAAGGGTGATCACTGGTGACTTCTGGGTTAAACTTATCAGAGGCGAAATACACATGCATCTTGTCAATTTCAATCCCATAGGAGGGTACAGAAACATTTGCGAAATGCCAGATTCATAGCTCAGGTATTCATCTAGGTTTCGGCTTCATCTTCATTTCCATCATCTTCATCTTGGAAAGCAAAACTTGTCTTCCTAGCTTGCTCTCTGCAACATGGAAAGAGATGACTCTAATTTTGAATCCACTCCACAGGAATGAATAGATCAGATCACCTTCCTCACTTAAGAGAATGATTCCCATATGACTTCCACTCAAAGAAGAACAAGGTTTGTTCACCAAAACTTTAAAACTTACTTTATCCAATTTGCAGGTGCATTCCTTAGCCAAGTTTTGATGTCTCCCTGAACTTGTGTTCTGTTGCATCTTTGAAAGCTTGCATGACTGCTTCTGAAAAAACA